TACATAGATTTCAGTTTTAATTTTATGAGTCAATTCCAAAAAAGAAGTATTATAATAACAGATTTAGTTGAAATGGTGTAAGTCTAATGAAAATAATTTATACAAAATTTTCTCAATTTCTATATTTAGAATTAAAAAAGACTCACATTCATTGATTGGAATTTAACATATTCTAATAAATCCCTGCAATAATTTATAAAAACACGACTACTTTTAATTAACAAGTGTTTTTAAATTAGTATATTTATTTAAGAAAATCTCTACTAATTGTTGTCCACTTTTAATTTGAATTCGTAAACTTAATTCACTTATTCTTCTTAAATAATTAACTGGAAATATCTCAATTTATAAAGTTCCAAACTGTTAATTATATTAATGAATATTTAAATGTTACATAATCGAAGTAATAGGTTATTAATTAATTTTCAGAAATTAACAAAAACTTATGGTCTAGGTAAATCATCAGAATGCAATCACTCTAATAGTATTTTTATGTGATAAAGTATTTTGTGATAGCAAACTAAAAATGAGTATTTTTGTTAAATTTCTATCTTAATGTGGCTTTGAAAAGTTTTAGAAAAGAAAATATGAAATATAAAATTATTATGTGAGCAAAAAATAAAATATATAAGAATTGAAGATTAATTTTACTAATTACTCATTAAATTATTTTGGTTTATAGTAAAATATAATAATTGAATAAACTAGTGCCAACTCTCTCTATTTTAATAAATTAATAATAGCATCTATAATTGAAGCAGTTCATCTACCACAAAATTAACCCACTTCCTTTTTCACTAGTTCATAATATATCTTGTTTTTGGAAAACAAGGCTTATTGAAATAAGTAAACAAATTAATAAAGTTGTTTATAGATTAATTTCATACTTTCAATAACGAAGTACTTCTGATAAATGTCTGCTTTTTACGGTATTTGGACTATATAACATAGCAACATTTACAGCATAATTGCTTAGGAGCTTATAATTATATACAGTTTGTTAATCATTATAGCTAGCATCAGCGATAACTAATGTTCTTCATGACTTATATGGTTAATAATGATATTGAAAAAAAAGTTTAAGTACTGATTATTAAATTAAAAATACATTTCTTTAATTATTCTTTCAAATAAACATACTATAATATTAAACTTTTGAAGTTTTGGGAATCATGTTGATTTGAGAGAACTTTAGTAATAAGAATTGTAATAATTGCTGTTTAAATGATTTAGTAATTTTTAGAAGTCTCAAATTTAGACACAAAATAATCTTGTTAACTTTAATGAATATATATATATATATATTTCTAATTACTCAAAGAAAATCTAGATTTTATAATAAAATGCCCTGGAGTGTCGAATCTCAACAATGGTGCTTATTTTGATAATATAAAATATTATAGTTGGAATGAGTGGAAAATGTGCAGATATAGTTTTTACTAAAACTCTGGCATCATTAATATCATAAGTATAATGTGGAGAATAAAAAGTGGATGTGTAAAATGGAGCAGGATGTGCATCATCAACTCTTTGTAAGATACTGTGAAATATGTTACTAGTGATGGGAAGAATGATTTTGGATGGAATTCAATTTTTGTCTCTAATACTAATTGTGGATCATTTATACTAAATGTACAAATGATATGAATGCAACTGAAACAACGGCTTGTAAATCAAAATTCCTGTTAAGCAATTATTCCAAATAAATGATGATTTGATGCAGGTGTAAGCACAACGAAATGCTCTAATATAGACACTTGTAAAGAAGTCATTTCATCAGCCAATTTTACAGAATGTAATAAAATTTTAGATGATGAAAAATGTGAATTTTAAATAATGAATGTATTAATGTTGTGGTTATTCAATTACCAGAATGGTTGCATGTTAAGTTATTTATTGATCAGCCTTGAATTCTATTATATCGGAACTCTGAAATAATGTGCATATTGCTTGTAATATTATTTCATCACAAAAATCATAAGCAGATTGCAATGTAGGAACAGAAAGTTGTAAAATGCAGGTGTTTTATGTGCCAGTTATACATTTCCTTCGATGAAAAATAATACTTTTGTTAGAAGATATATGCTGATTCAGTAGATGAATACTGTTCTTAAAACCCTTTTGCTAATAGTAATGAAGGAAGTTGTATTACTGGAAACACTGATTGGGGGGAATTATAGTAAATATTTAAGATGATGATGCTGGGGGACTTGCTTATGCCTCTTTATCATGTAGAGCTATTTATTATAATCCAGCTAGCTTCATACACAGCAATAACAGCTGCCATTACACAGATTGTGATTTAAGAAAAATATTATGATGCAAGAAAAATACTACTAATTCTACTGGTTGCGAAGCGAGAGATATATGTATTTATGCAACCTCCTTATTGCTTCTATTAAGCAATTTTGTAATTTGTTCTTTTTATGACAGTCTCTCAGTTGATACTGAGTTAACATATTGTTAAATAAGAGTAAATCAGAAAGGAAAAAGATGTTCATAGACTAGTGGTACTAATTGTGGAGATGTAATTCTTGTCATTATATACCAATATTTAATTTGTTTTACTAAACAAAAAACATATACTTCATATACTCCAAAAAGATATTAAGAAGATAATAACCTTAAATATTGCAATAATAATCTTAAAAACTCTCTAGATTCTAGATGTACATATATTAACAAAGGAAGTACAAGGAAATAAATTATCAGCATGTTAATGTGCAATATTCACTACTGGTGTATGTACATACTTTTCAGGATATACTTACATTGTTGTAGGTGCTTGTAATTCATGTACTGGATAAACTATAAAAACTATAGTAAGTGATTGGGCTCAATAAAAGAATATTGAATGATTTTGTTTTGGTGTTGGTTAATGCAAATTCATTGTTTAACAATCTAAAAGATACTAGATGTGATGACTGCACAGTTGATGATGATATTGATGCAAATTGCAAATAAAGAGAATGTAATTATATTGCAACAGCTAGTTTTTCAACTCATTTAGAATGTATATCATATTTATTATAAATCAAACAGCTAAGGTTATACATCTGAAACAACAACTTGAGCATAATAAAGCGGATACTTTAATTTAAAAATATTAAATGAAGTATAATTATAATAATCCATATAAATTATTAAATGTATCATTTACTTTTTTAATCTATTCTAAAATGATTTTTGAAATTAATTGTTTGTATTCAATTAAGTTCAAACTATTTATTTATCTTGCTGAAATATAGATGATT